ACTGTGCTCCAGTCATTAGAAAAGTGGACTCAGAGCAAGGCCTTCTGGGTTCTATTCCCAGGCCTTGGGCAACCTTCTCTGTACCTCCATTTCCCCACGTGTAAAGTGGGTTCCCTGCCTCAGAGGGACAGCTGTGAGGCTTAATTAATTGGAGTGCTTGGAGATCCTCAGATAAAAGGGGTCACAGAAGGGCAAAGCTTATTAGCTCTGTTCCCTATCCCCGTACACACTCCCCAACAAAACCCTATCATGGCTAAGGTTACAGGCCCACTCCGTACCGAGCTAGGAAGGTCAGATCATTCCACATAGGAGCTGGATTTCCCCTAAGTGATTCCCCTCGAGTTTGGTTGCACAATTTCCCTGTCTCCCCTCCCACCGTTCACCATCCCAAGCCAACATCCTGAAATTCCAGACACACAGAGATTGTGCCGACTCCCAAGGCAGTGACCCAAACCCCGGAAAGAGCAGCCCTTCCGTATTGGGGTTACTGCACTGAGATGCTGGAGCAAACGCAGCAGTAATTAAAGAACTGGATTATTTATGGGTTAAACAACAACCGGTCGTGCAGCCAGCACACCCAGGTGTGGTTTGTCATGAGAACTGGATGATGTTCCCAGCAGTTTGGGAGCAGCTGGCCAGAGCTGCATCCTACTTCTTACTGGCTAGACAATGGAACCCTCCGTGCAACTCCTCCCCGCAGTGACTCAGCACAGGAAGCGAGTCCACTCTGATTTCTAGGTTCATAATTTGTGGTTAATGATAACGTGCCCTTCTGTAAGGCCTTCCCTCGGCGGATTTCACAGCACTTTCCAGATGGCTGTGAGCTTAGAATGTGAGGAAAGGAAGAGTTACTCTCCTGCTTGGCAGACAGGGAATTGGAGCGCAGGGATTTTGCCCAAGCTTCCAATGAGGAGGTGACAAAGACAGGAACCAAACTCAGGAGCTCTACTCTCACTCTTGGATTTTAAGCACAAAGTCATCCTCCCCCTGTATTCGAGATCGCCAGCTAGGTGAAAAGTTGAGCATGGATGAAAGCAAACAGGCTCCTGACAAATGTCCTGGATGGCAGCATGCCCGTTACCCCCACCCCACCATGCTCACCTGCACCTCCTCAATCTTGGGGTGGGTGTGTAGAAACTGCTCGAGTTCTGCTGGGTAAATGTTCTCCCCTCCACGGATAATCATGTCCTTGCAACGACCTACAATTTTGCAGTAGCCGTGCTTGTCCAGGACAGCAATGTCCCTGAAACAACACCCGAGTCAACTCCATAGCCCTCGGTCCAGATCTCCCAGCTGGCTGGAGAATGGCTCATCCATCCAATCAGACCAGAGGGAGTCTTCCCACTGGCATGTTCAGAGCCTACAGCTCTTAATCCTGACCAGCAGGAGGTTAGACTTTCCAACCATCCAGTTCGTAGAGGATGCATCAAGAGGAGATTCTCATGCAGGGATCAAAGGGTTCCCAATAACTCTTACTTCCAGGAACCTGCATCAGAACTCAGTCTAAACTGGAATTCCTTTCATTCCCCTCCCTTTCTCTATGTTCCCCACCCCCATCTGCACCTGGTTATTTCATGGGGATCGTGCAAAGATCCATCTAGTGCAGGGTCCTGTCTTCAGTAGTGGTTTGTACTAAATGCTATGGGCCAAATTCTGCCCAGGTGTAAACTGGTCCGACTCCACTGAAGTTCATGGATTTGGCCATGCTGCCACTAGGGCGGATTCTGGCCTGTTACTAGAAGTTCTTGCTTCCCACTCGGACACATCCATTCTCAGCCAATGCCATATACCTGCGCCCTCCCTCCAGAACAGAGGTAAAAGAGCGGATTCTATGTAGTTCCCAAACTCACCCAGTCTTGTACCATCTGTCATCAGTGATCACTTCGTTGGTTCTGGCGGGGTCTTCCCAGTAGCCCAGCATGACGCAGTAGCCTCGAATCTGGAGTTCCCCGGGGCTGTTCAGAGCGGCAATCTCCCCGGTTTCAGGATCCTCAATCTTTGCCTGCAACACAAGAGAGCCAGGCTCTTCAGGCACAGTGCAAGCCCCATGCTGGCTGCAGCTCAAGGAGTGAGGAAGGGCAACAGCAGCGATGCTCTGCTGGGGACTGTAAAGCTAGGGTAGGTGGGGAAGATAAAGTTCACCTCTGTGTGGGGGAAGATGCACCCCACCGTCTCAGTTCTCTGGGAGATGTTGTCCTGTGGGAATCCCATGAAGGTGACAGGGCTGTTCTCTGTGGTCCCATAGGCAACCTGCAAACACACAGGTGGGGGGGATATGCATCAGGGACTCTGCTGGGAAACAGAAACAGCCAAGTTCTACTGCGAAGGTGGAGGAAACTAGCAGTCAGTACAGGGGAAGACATTGGGGATGCAGGAGTTCTTCACAAGTCATGGGTCACCAGGCGAATGCTCCCATCTTCAGGTGTACGTCAGGGTAGCTCCAGATATTACTACCACCGAAGACAGTACTGAAAAGCTCCCCCCAAGGGACAAGAGGACAAAGAACAATGAGACTGGACCCACCTGCCATGGTCCTGCTTCTGCTCCCCCACAGCAACCCTACCAATGTTCAAAACCTTCCTATCTCCCAAGACCTGCTGGAATGACAGTGACTCTCACAACTCACTTGCCTTTCATGCAGAATCACAGATGCTGCCTCCCCAGCCTCTGGTCTCACATGGTCTTTCCTGCCTCTGCTACTTCTCACAAAGCCCTGTTCTGTTTGCTCCCTGCTATCCCTGTCTGATCTGAGACTCCTGTCCCCAAGCTTCTCTCTCTGGTTGTGTCCCCATGACCATCCACTCTCGCTGTGCAGGATTCACCTTGAATCTGCCATGCAAAATAATACACTTTGGACACCACTCCCTGGCACCTGGGAAGAGTTTGCCCTGAAAGAGTCCCAGGCCAGGTCCCTGTTGGTGACAACCACACTCTCAGTCTGTCAGCACAAAGGTTTACTTCAATCCTTTTTGCATGGACATCAGCATCCCTGGCCCCCTAATCAAGGCATCAGGAGACAGCCTGGAACTCTCAGTGCAGCTGCATTTGCAAACATAAAGCATCCCAGTGGGGCAGACCCACCGTGCTATGACAAGGGCCCCTGGAAAGCTAACCTAGCTGTGGGTTCTGACACCCTTGTTGATCCCTTTCCTTCCATCAAGGAAAACTCCAGCTTTATGGTTCATCTCAACAGTTTGTACATTTGCAAGGTCAGAAGCTCCTATCACCAGGAATAAACTGTGAAAGGTACATCTGTGAAGCTTTGAATAACATTTGGCATTTCAGATCTTGTGGGTGGCTCTTGTGTCTCCGGCTACAGAGACCCCCTTAGATTATAGCATTGAGATGCGACAATGAGCTCCATATTGGAGCTTTACTGATTTCCTTTGGTGCTGTGCTCCTCTAATGGTGGGTGGGCTACATGTAGCGATTGATAAGCCTGCTACAGCCTTTGTGAACAGACCCAGTCCTGGCAGTGGAGGATCATGGCGTTCGATCCAGTGGTCCCAGGTTTGATAGCCACTGTTGACACCCCTCCCAAGGGCACGGTGTAGCTTCTGCACTGCATGGGTTTCCACACAGCACTCACTCACCTTCCAGGCCACCATTTGCACAAGGAATTTGAGATGCCTTGTTTTGGGGCGGTCCAACTGGAGATGCCTTAAATGGGCCTGTGTTTTGGAGGGTAAGTGCTCAGCCCTTTCTGAAAATCAAGAGTTTTTAAGGTGACTCAGGTTGGGCACCCGACCACTAGTCGTTTTTGAACACTGGGTGCAGAGGTCAGTGTAACATCTGGGATGGATTCTCCAGGGAAGCCTCTTCTTTAGGTGCAATGTGGAGGGGATTGTCTCCCAGACATTGCAGTGGCCATCCTGCTGAAAAGTGCAGCCCAGAAACACAATGGGAGCGACTGTGAACATCCCCTTTCCTGCCAGACCTAACCATGGTTTAACAGCCAGGAGGACACCTGCAATGCTGAATGGTTAACAAGGACTTCTCTCCCACCCACTAGATGAGAGAGCTCTTTGGCTGGACCTGCGCCCCATTTTACTAATAAGACATAAAACCAAGGTCTTCAACGCTTATTGAAAGCCCCACTGCACTCTCTGGTAAGGGCTGGGGTATTAGTCCAAGAGTCCCGGCCAAATTCTGGGACACTACTTTCTGCCTCCCTAACCCCCCTGCAATTTCAATTGGATACAACAGAGCACCTGGCCCCAGTGCCAGGTGTCGCCAGGAGTGGAGTGCTGCCCCATTCCCCTCTACGTGTCTGGGAACCCGCTCTGTGTTCGAGCTCAGAGGCGTGCGCGCTCCAAGCGCTCGGCTCGCCAGGCTCTAGCCCAGGGGTTCTCAAAGTGGGGGTCGGGACCCCTCGGGGGTCACGAGGTTATTACATGGGGGGCTGCGAGCTGTCAGCCTCCACCCCAACCCTGCTTTGCCTCCAGCATTTATAATGGTGTTAAATATAGTTTAAAGTGTTTTTAATGTATAAGGGGGGGTTGGACTCAGAGCCTTGCTACGTGAAAGGGGTCACAAGTACAAAAGTTTGAGAACCACTGCTCTAGCCTACAGGCTTCAGAGCCTGCCCGAATGTCCACACGACTGATTTTAGCACTGTTGCGTGAGCCCCCAAGCCCCGGAGTCTGTAGACTCACTGCTGTGGGTTACTGCTCACTGCGGGGGTGCTGCCCGTGAGTCAGAGAGGTCGCTTTATTACCGCTGCTAGAAACCCAAGGTGTAAATCCCCTGGTCACAGTGCTTAAAGCTACCAAAGATAAACCAGCAGTTCTCAACTCAGCCCCTCGGGGCAATCAAGTGCCAGGGTACTAGGAGTCTCGGAGACCCCGCACACTGTCCCTCCGCCTTTAGGCTGCTGCCCTCTAACCTCCTGCTGTGGCTGCTGGCCAGGTACAGAGGTGTTTCTGTCCAGCTCTCAGCCTTCCCATCCCACCTGCCCGGCTGCCTGAGGCCAGGCCTTGTCCCCACAGCCAGCTACCAGGCTGGTGTTCAGGGCCTGCTGCTTCTGTTCTCACCCAGCTTCCAGCTTCCCCAGAACTTGGTCCCCTCTGACCCCAGGTAGCTCTTTCCTTGCCTGTACTCTGGGGATTATGGAGCCTTCTGCTGCAGACCAAGTAGGGAATAACACAGTGCCTGTTAATGAGCCAGCAGGTTCATTGCAATATCCTTTACTATCTTTCCCAAACTGTTGTGGCATGGTTGCTGTATGCAGTCAAACAGCTGCTGTGTTCCACCCCAGAGGTGGCTGCATGTCATTGGTGGAAAAAAATGATACTTGTATAAAAGACATATGTCAATTTAGGTTTGAAGACGTCCTTGGGGATTTATAGATTTTTCAATGCTAGAAGAGACTCCTAGGATAATCTAGTCTGACCTCCTGCATAATCCAGGCCAGAGAACCTCACCCAGTAATGTCTGCATCAAGCCCATAACTTCTGTTTGAGCTAGAGCATCTCTAATCTTGACTGAAAGTCTTCAAGCGATAGAGAAGTCACCTTGTCCCTGGGATTCTCTGCCTTGAAGGGAGCTATAGCGAATACAATAATATAGCTGATCGTAAACCCTGGTAGGGCTGCACGGGACCCTGAATCACTCACAGAAGTCACAGAATATCAGGTTGGAAGGGACCTCAGGAGGTCATCTAGTCCAACCCCCTGCTCAAAGCAGGACCAATCCCCAACGGCCCCCTCAAGGATTGAACTCACATCAGCCTTCAGCAACCTGATCACCCCCTGGATTAGCTCAGAAATGCTAAGTGTCATTTTAAAATGACAGCTTCTCTGTGAATTCTGAGTCTTCGCCTAAACTGGGAATGAAAACTACTGTACCTTAGCAGAACGGTGTTTTGTTTTAAACAGGGTTTTCAAACATTTCCAGCTAACACTGTATAAATATTGGCCAGTGTGGATCAGGCAACACTGTTTAAAAAATAATAAACCCTGCTCCAGTCTCAGCAGTGAACATTTGAGAGGTAGAGTGGTCCAGTGCATAGAACTGGGAGTCAGGATGCCTGGGTTCTTTTCCCGGCTGGGCAACATTGGGCACATCAAGTCACCTATTTGTGCCTCAGTTTGCCCATCTGTACAATGGGGATAAAAACACTCACTCCCTTTTGCCATCAAATGATGCTGATAGGTTGCAAGTACAGGGCCTGATTCATCATTGTGTTACTCAAAATGGAGTTCCATTGGGGTAGGACTGGAGTAGAGATCAGGGCCCTAGAGCACCAGGGGGGTCCTCAGATAACAGTACTCTGTAATTGCAACCTATTATTCTATTGGTTGGGGGCAAGTGGAGGGACAAAACCATTGTGCTCCCCCAGCTGGCTCTGCAGCAGTTACACAATAGTGCTGGGGCTGCATGACGATATCGGGACACCAACAGAACTCCAAAGACATGCTCGTTTCAGTTCCCTTAGCAACACAGGGAGAAACCACCATCTTGGCCCCAGAGAGAAGGGAGGAATTGGCTGAGAAAAGTAGTGATTTTCAGGCGGCAAAGAGGGTGTAACAAACAACAGAAAGTCAAACAACAAACCAAAGTAAGTGCTGAGGGCTCTCATGCTGGCTCTGCCAGTCCAGCCCCCCGTGACCCAGAGGATGGATTTCATTATCCTAAATCAATGCCGGATGTTTTGTCTAGCTCTGAAGATCTCAACTGAAGTCGATTCCAGACCCTCCCTTGGCAGCTAGCTCCAAACAGTCCTTAACTCATCATCCTTCTTGTCTCATTCAAATGTTCACTGGGGAGATGGAACCTAGCTCTGCTGGCCTCGGCACTGGGCATAGCCGAGCTCTGCGGAGTTGCCTCTCCATCCCAAATTTTAAATCCAGGTCGATTTTACTGCCCCACAACGACTTCGGGATATGTTCCAACTTGCATTTCACTGTGATGTCGTTAGCTACCAGAGCGACCCTGGCATCTCTATGCCGCAACATCAGGGAGCAAACAAGTTTGCCTTGTAGGACAATTCTCCAAAGGTGGCCATATTCCTGGAGATCCCACCCATCCAGATAGTCACAAGCCAGTTCCAGTCTGAGCCGGCGCAAAGAATCCCCCAAATAGCCAATGCAACGTCCTCACTGTGGCATAACCGCGTTGCCCCAGAGCAGCCATTTCAAAACCAGCAACCAAACCAGCCTGGCAGACTCAACACAGGCGATTGCTGCTTTCCTGCATTGCTGAAAATCAACCTCCTGTTATTTTACAGTCAGGACAAACTGCTCCTGGTG